AAATTTTCCAGGTGAATTTGAATATACTAAAGAATTATAAACCTGCATCTTCTAGTCTCTGCGTAAATACACAAGTTTGGACACTGCTAAGGCGTTAGAAAGCGAATATTTAGTTCTTTGGATGTTGTCTAGGCTCACGTAAGTCACATCAATCTTGACGAAGAGTTATGCAAACAAGCGTAGCCTGGTACTGATTTGTCTGCATGAAGGCTCCTATTACTAGCCGTATGTAGATTTTTTACACATGCACACAAGCATAGCCCAAAAAAAACCTAAATTATCGAGGTTTAAGCTCAAGAGACCCTCTAGCTTTTGTCCTCCAATCACATTTTATGTATGCACATGACTACACCCGAGTATGATACCTCCACGTGGATAGACAACCCCGCCTCCTGATGGGAACACAGCACAGCCTTAAATATAATTTTCCCCAAAACTTTCCACTGGCGTTCCTCATGACAGCATAATCCAGGAAAAGGCTACACACGAAACCCAGACAATTTCACTTAAAACGACCCGTCTAATCCACAGAAAATGTGAATTACGATGACATATAGCAAGTGACCGATAAGACAAATACCGATGGTAGAGTAATTGGAAATCTTATTTGGTTAAAAATAAGGACCGACACGAATGTAACCGAAGACCAGCCATCGTCAATGCTAAACTTGAAATCAAGAGGCGAATGTAAGGGATCAGTAAGTTGGTCTCACCATAAGTTGTAAGGTGATCGCTTTGGAGTTGACTTGATTCGTAAGAATAGGCCTTTGACGCACGGGTCAGAGCCCGATGAATACATTCTTACCTTTTGTCCGTCGTTAGGGCCGTCATCAGAAGAGACGGTGCATTGGGATAATTCACTATATACAAATACAAGATGGGTGGATGGTTAATGACCGTAAGACGGCGTCCTAATGCGAAGAACACCTACCCAAAGGTTCATAGAGATCGCGGGGCAGTGCGCCAAGTACTTAATCGCGCAAAGATAGTTACACCTCCAAGGCAATTCCACCGCCGATTGTGACGGGTCCAACTGACGAATACCCGTCTCTCACCTCTTCGAACAGAACAAGAGGTACCTCAACGGCAATCTATTAGAGGATTCGTCTAAACTCCGTTTTTATACATAGGTATCACCAATGCTTGAAATAATGACAAGACCACGAGTGGTGGACGACACTCCAGGACAGGTAAAAGGGCCGCCGAAATAAAGCTCGAGTAGACGACCTTTACCTGTGAAGCAGGTCTTAGGTGTAGCAGTCATGCGTGACCAAAATGCTGTAGTCCTAAGGGGACCGGATGGGATAAAAATCACGAGAGAAGAGGCCTCGGGACAGTTAAATGCAGAGCATGAAATAAAGACATGTTGGACATAACAATTTTATTCGGATAAAGGTATAAAACACTTATAACGCTTTAATGCCGCCAAATGTGAGACAGTCAAAAAAAATGCTTGAATGTATAAATTGACAGATGAAGGGAGTAGGGCAAATGCTTATGCACGTTCACCTCGGATGCGGCGAGCGAGCTGGATATCCTTTGGCATGATCGTGACCCGCTTGGCGTGAATTGCGCACAAGTTAGTGTCCTCAAAAAGGCCAACAAGATAAGCCTCGCTAGCCTCTTGCAGAGCCCCAACAGCGGCACTTTGGAAGCGAAGATCAGTCTTAAAATCTTGGGCGATTTCACGTACCAAACGTTGGAACGGCAACTTGCGGATAAGTAGTTCAGTAGACTTTTGGTATCGACGGATCTCACGGAGAGCAACAGTACCGGGCCTGTATCGATGGGGCTTCTTAACACCTCCAGTCGAAGGTGCCGACTTTCTTGCAGCTTTAGTAGCTAATTGTTTACGTGGGGCCTTGCCGCCAGTTGACTTGCGAGCAGTCTGCTTGGTGCGGGCCATTATAGACGGAGAGAAAGAAGTAGAACCGAAACGAATTTAAACAAGCTAGCGGGGAGTAGACATTAAGAGGTAAAAATCCTAAGTGAAAAAACAAGTGTTTGTTCTTTTCTAATTCATTCACACAAGAAAGTACAATAAAAAACAACATAATATCTTTTTTATACATTTTATTAAATATGTTATTATACATACTTTGTTTAAAATTGGAGATTTAAAAAATTGCAATCGTCTCATACCCTACGGTGAAGCCAAATATTTATTCAAGTACATTAATCCTACATAGTATCAAGCTATATATTAAACATATTTTTATCTAAACAGATTAAATGAATTAATTTTAATGGCTGCTATGGATTTAAATTACATTTAATCTACAGTTCGGCGATAGAAGGAAATTATTAAACTTATCATCAATTCCTCTCAATACCGAAACAACTGCGTTTTTGGAAAAAGGACTCTATTTTTTAATTCAACATCACAGGAGCCTTATAGGAGACATCTTGGTGGAGGTTATCAATATCACGGACAAGTTCCCTGAGGAGACAAACCGGGAAATATAGATGGAATTAATTAAGAGATCTTGACACATCAGGAGCCTACACATAGGAACAGGTTTGCTGTGATGCGCAAAACTCTGAAAAAGAATGAACAATTAGTGTTTTAGGCGGACAAAGCAGGAGCTACACTTATAATTGTCAAAAAAAACAATATACCGAGAAGATGAAACATATCCTACGAGACAGGACCACATATCGTATATCAAACAAGGACCCAACTATGAGGATCAATGGAACCTTAAGTGGTATGCTGAAAGATATGCATAAGATTGGGAAAATTGACGCATGGACAATAAATTCAATCATAAGAAAGGATGCATGACCACCAACAGTATACAGATTACCGAAGATACACTAATAAGGCAAGCCACTAAGGCTGATAGTCAACAATAGTATGAATCAACACACGAAATGGTAAAGTTTACATGTTTGAAACTTAAGAAATTAAATGAAAGGCTATCTAACACGGTGAAAAATTGATATGAATTTTCTCAAAAAATCAAAAACAATAAACTTGAAGAAACAGACTTATTGGTAAGTTTCGATGTGGAATCTATGTATACAAATATCTCTGGAGAAAATGCGCTAACTGCCCTGCTGAAAATGCTGGACCGAGAGGAGGATATCCTGGAATCACAACGGATCATTAGGGAGTCGTTAACAAGACTAATCAACTTGACAATAAGGAAAACCCATTTTACATTCAACGGGAACTTCTATGAACAAATATTTAGGCTTCCAATGAGATCGCTGCTCTCACCAATTTTGGCCAACGTATACATGAATAAAATAGAAGAGAGCTTTAAGATAGCACCGCTACAACTGGAAGTGCTCATGCGGTACCTAGATGATTACTTCGCACTTTAGTAGCATGTAAGAGAAAAACTGGAAGAGTTTCTGAAGTTTGCAAATCAAATTGATCTAAAAATTTAATTTACGATGAAAGTAAAAAAGGTAAGTGGTTACCGTTCCTGGACGTTGAAGAAATTCGTTCTAATGGGACG